TGCACTTCCTGCCCTTCTGAGCTCGCTACCCCCCGACGCCCTCCCCACCCTTCTCTTTGTCTTCTTCTACTTCTTCTTCTTCTTCTTCTTCTTCTTCTTCTTCTCTTCTTGACCTCCTTCCTCATCTTCTTCCCTCCCTCATCTCCGACTTCCGACTTCATGCTCCCCACGGTTGCCACGTGGCGACTGGTGCACATTTTTTTTTTCTTCTTCTTTTTCTTCTCTTCTTCTTTTTCTTCTTCTTCTTCTTCCACCTGCTCATCGCTCGGGGCTGCCAGTGCCTGCCACGTCACCTCATTGAGAGAGAGAGAGAGAGAGAGAGAGAGAGAGAGAGAGAGAGAGAGAGAGGCATGCAGAATCTTCGGCAGCTGGACGTCCAACAGGCACGGCATAAGGAGCGTCAGGAGGACGGTAGCCAGGTCACCAACAGCAGTTGCTGCCACGTCATCAGCCGCAGCAGCTGCCACATCAGCGGTTGCAGCAGCTGCCATGTCAGCAGCCGCATCAGCTGCCACGTCAGCAGGTCTGTGCCGCAGCAGCTGCCATGTCAGGAGGTCTGTGCATCAGCAGCGTAGCAGCTGCCACGTCAGCAGTCGTAGTAGCTGCCACTTCATCAGCCGCAACAGCTGTCACGTCATTAGCTGCACCGACTGCCACTTCATCAGCCACAGCAGCTGCCACATGAGTACTCGCAGCAACTGCCACTTCTGCAGCCACAACAGTTGCCACCTCAGCAGGTGAAGGAGCTGGAGGGCCTGCCACAACAACAACGGCAGCTTCCATGTCAGGTACAACGATCACAACAGCAACCGACTGCCACAAATAGTAAGAAGCTGGCACATCAGCACCTGCCACATCAGCAGCAGGCACATCAGAATCTACCACGTCACGACCCGACACATCAACAACTGCAAGTTTTTCAACAATTGTCATGGCGAGCTCTAGCGCCCCGATGGGGGGGGGCAAACGAGAGCCGTTCAGGTTGGATCCCAAGTTCAGGGGTGACCATTGTGTGTGGACATGGGTGGAGTCTGGTCAGGTCTTGGAGGGGAATTCCAAGGGATAAAGAAGGCTGCGCTGTCGGGTTGTGCCAACGCGAGTGGAGCGGCACACGGAAACGGGCGTGTGAGCACTTCACTTTCAAGAGGGAATCCTCCAGGTGTCCGCACGACACTATGGCCATTTGGAGGAGATTGCACGGAGCTGGTTGGGAGTTGCCTCTGGACCTGCAGTGGTCTGAGCCGTTACAATGCGACCATGTTGTGCCTCTAGTGCCACTGGCGTGTCTGGACTCTGGAGTGTATTTTTTGGTTGTGACAGACCTTTTTTGTTTCATGGGTATTTTGTTGGCTTGTGATGGGGTGTGAACTGACAGTCTGTAGAGTTTTCCATCTGGTGTGGCCCTTGTGGGTGAGTGATATTGTACTTTGATTTTTGTCACAAGTACCTTGAGGGCAGTGGTTGGTGCCCACCTCAAGGTATCAGTTGTCGGGCGGTCATTGATGCTTAACCATAGTCGAGGTTAAGGTGGATTATCACTTACAATGTAATCTGTTAGGGGATTCTGCAGACTATTGAGGGTTCAACCTCCTGATGTGTCGGTGAAACTTCGACGAAACAGTTTGTGACAACCGCTTATTTGTTGTCATATTCTCTCTCTCTGCCTACAGTTTACTGAGCAACTCTGTTTGACAATATATACCACAACTTTGCTAGCACTCTGCTACGATTTTCTCCGGTCAGGTCGAGCCGCAGTGGTTGGGGTCGTTACTGTGCGGCAATGTTGTGCCTCTAGTGCCAGTGGCATGTTGTGACAAACCTTTTTTTGTTTCGTGGGTGTTTTGTTGGCTTGTGATGGGGTGTCAACCGACAGTCTGTAGAGTTTTCCATTTGGTGTGGGTGAGTGATATTCTGCTTTGATTTTCGTCACATGTACCTTGAGGGCAATGGTTGGTGCCCACATCAGGGTATCAATTGTCGGGCAGTCGTTGATGCTTAACCACAATCGAGGTTAAGGCGGATTATCACTTACAATGCAATCAGTTAGGGGATTTTTCAGAATGTTGAGGGTTCAACCTCCTTATGAGTAGTTGAAACTCTGATGAAACAGTTTGCCACAACCCCTCGTTTGCTGTCGTCTTCTCCTTCTCTGCCTACGGTTGACCACGCAACTCTGTTTGACGATATATATTTTATTGCAGACATCTACGTCCATCAGGATTTGAACTTGGGTCTGCGTTTGGACGGTCGATTGGTGTACCAAATGAGCTAGCCTCGCTAGTCATGAGGATATTTTCAACTGAGTTGGGACGTAATTGCGGACTGATGCATCCGAGTCCGACAATAATTGAGGTCGGATGCATTCAAGAAAGCGTTAGGGTGAGTAATAGCGAATGGATGTGTTAGGCAAAAATGCAAACCCCAAAACATTCTTCCGCTCGTCGCAGTTGTTTTTGTTGGGCCCGATGCCCGAAAATGCAATGCACCTCGCCTCTCTGGACCTTTGTTAACTGCCATTTCGTCAAAATGGACATCTTTTATTTTTTGAACGAAATTAAAACCGAGTTTTTTTACCGAAAACTCGTCAAAATTTGTTGTTCCTGAGGGTCTGGCGTTTGTAAAATATTGGACCCCCTGGCTGTACATGGACCTAGCTTGAGACCAGGAACATCCAGGCAGTCCTGCCTGGATGTCCCTGATCTCAAGCTAGGTCCATGTACAACCAGGGGGTCCAGTGGTTTTTTACAAATGCCGGACCCTCTGGATGTCCCTGGTCTCAAGCTAGGTCCATGTACAGCCAAGGGGTCCAATATTTTACAAACGCCGGACCCTCAGGAACAACAAATTTTGACGAGTTTTCGGCAAAAAAACTCGGTTTGAATTTCGTTCAAAAAATAAAAGATGTCAATTTTGACGAAATGGTCGTTTGTTCACCCACGCCCCGCCCCCGTAGGTCGCTGTTTCACTCACTTTTCGTCACCCCCCCTCACATAGGATGGTAGGTAGTCTCATATTCCAAGACAGTGAAGACACCCACGACCTACTGCTCCAGGTGATCACTGTGCACTCAGTGACTAGCCTTTACAACACCATGGACTTCAAAACGAAAAAAAAAAAGAAAAAAAATCGCAGCCAGGAGGGTGCGCCTTACCAGGTTGCATTTTGTTTGCAGCCAGGAAGTTGCACTTACCCCCGGTTGCATTTTGTCTCGTAGCGGGGTTTCCATATCAGGAAATGTTGACTACCTCTAAATAGGTTTGCAGGACATCATGAGGTAGAGTGCAAGGGTGCGGTCATTGTCAGGGCCGGACCGGTCGTCATAGCAATCGCACATCGGGTTGAAGGATGGGCGACTAGCGGTTGGCGAGCGGTTGGGTGACAAGGCGGGTGAGTGTCGTACCCCCTATCCCACTATCCTACCTTGTTGTGACGAGCAACACGGACCATTACCCTACCAATGGGCAGGTAACATGGACCGAATAACATTGTTACAACAGTGATAGGCACCAGGGCTGATAGGTTGCCCAGCCCTGGTGGAAGCGGAATCGGACAAGTCTTGTCGAATGGGAACTTCGGAGGCCAGACCCAAACAATCTACTACAACCCCAAGAGACTTTGGGCCCTAGGTTCAGACAGAGTAGCACCATTGAAGCAGTCTTACCGTTCTTCTCCTAACTTACCCAAGGCCAAGTGGAACTCGGACTGGCCTGAGCGACTTATACCCCTACCCTTACCCTAGGGTCTAAGCCTTATATAGCCACTAGACAGTTCTATCCGAATATCAGTAGGAACTCCGATGGCCCTTACCTGTAACTACTGCAGATACTAGATCCCACCCAGTGACTAGACCCCCCTAGTATGATAGTTGTATAGTTCGCAATCTATGTGTATACCCAAAGGCTATGTATGCTCCGTGTATCTATGCACGGACAACACCATGTGTGGAAACTTGTGTATGTAGCCCGTAAGCCATGTATAATTCGCAAGCTATGTATATGCCTGACGGCTGTGTGTGCTCTGTGAATCAATGTATCAAGATGTATAGCCAAGCTAAGGCAGCATCACGTGTGTATATCGAAGAGAGAACGGGGTAAGCTGGACAAGGACCCCCCCAAGGTCCGAACCAAGCTCGAACTCGTGACCTTGTACTATGTAATCGAATGACTTTTTTTTTTTTTTTGAAACTTCGTATTCGGAAAACCTACTTAACGAGGTGATAAGAGAATCCCCGGTAAGTAGGTCCCGGCGTCGAATGCTCCATCTATTGGTGGGGAGTTACACCTGCTGGAAATTGGGTCCAGCGTCCCTGTACAATGATGTGAATGTATCTGCCAGAAATCGGGGCCAACGTCCCTGTACAATGATGTGAATGAATCTGCTGGAAATCAGGTCCAGCGTCTCTATGCAGAGGTGTGTTGATATCCCTAACTGCCTATGTATGTCTTATCTATCAGACGAAACCCTAACCTTTTTTTGATGCGTAACAGCTGGAAATCGGGTCCAGCGTCCCTATACAGTGATGTGAGGATATGTCATTCTACCAAGACATGGAACTCGAACACAAATGTGATGTGTATGAGCTGGAAATCGGGACCAGCATTCCTATTGTGTGTTCGCACATCAGCCTATATCTCAGAAAAGAACCGAGGCATTGATTACTTCCTTGCGTAAGGGAAGGATTAACCTCCAGCCCATGAAGTATTATCCAAACAAAATGCATGTTCATCAATCCCCCAACAAAGAAGTCAAAGCAAAGCACAAAACCCTAAACTACCCACCTCCCTTGCGGCCCATCATCAAAACATGTTTATCTTATATTTATCAATCAAAATATGTCATCCGAGGGGGAAACCCTAAACCTCCTTATCAAGCATATCAGCCATATCGCCATCGTCACGCCGAGCAGAGGCTGATCGCCCTTATGATTGAAATTGTGGGTCGGGCAATTTCAATCCCTTCGACTATCCTACCCCCTCCCTGAGCCGGACAGCAAGAAGCAATTCCATATCAAAATTGCAGGGGGGGGGAATAGAACACCACTTTGTTTCAACCCCAATCCCCTTCAGAACCCCACTGTCCACGCCAGATCCCGGCATCTCACTCGCCATTCTGATGATGAAATTGGTTGCACAGTCACTGCTGCCAGTCCCCCTGTTACCGTGGTCATAGTTGTTGTTTTTGTTGTTGTTGTTGTTGTTGTCCTTGTTGTTGCTTGTACCGTCGTCCCCGACCGCGCTGTCATTGTTGAAGCTGTTGTTGTCGTCGTTGTTATTGTTGTTGTCATTGTAGTTGTTGTCGTTGATGTTGTCGTCGTTGTTGTTGTCGCTGTGGCCGTTGTTGTTGTCGTTGTTGTCTCTGTTGTCGTTGTTGTTGCTGTTGTCGTTGTTGTTGCTGTTATCATCGTTGTTGTTGTTGTTGTTGTTGTTGTTGTTGTTGTTGTTGTTGATGCTGACGCCGGAGTTATCTTCGTCTTCCTTCGCTCCATCCTCCTACTAGTCCTCATCCTCCATGTCGTTATCGCCCTCCAGTCAATCCTCAAGCATACATCGCAGGTTGCGACCCTCAGTGAAGAGGGCGTAGCAGGTAGACATCATGTCATCTGCCCTCCTCCAATCGATGCAGGCTTCGAGCTGGGGATCCGACCCCTCCTCCAGCCCCCAGATAATATCCAGCATGTTGTCAGTCGTATCTTTCAACCAATCAGCCAGAGGAATCGCTCCCCCTTCGACCTCTGGCTCCTCATGTGACCGCAAAGACAGCTCCCCCACAATCACTTGTAACCGCCTGCATCCCTTCTCCAAGGTCATCAGCCATTCGTCTGCTCCACGTTGTAGCTCCCCCCCCACCTCCATCTCTTACCCAGATAGCTGCGCCCTTCTTATGTTTTTGTGTCGACCTCACAGCTGGCGCTACCCCTGCCTGCGCGTCGCGGGACGGCCACGTCACCAACAACAGACGCCACCTGGCGAAAAGAGCCACGCACGTCTGTTGGGCGCACGCACAGGCCTAGCAGCCGAGGAGCTCCCCTCCCCAGGCGCTAGTCTAGCTGGAGGGACCGGGCCTTGCCGGTCCGCCGGCGTCAGGGCGCTCATTCTTTACCATGCGAACGACTAGTGGAAATGGTACGAACGTGTGATATGCCAGCCTGGGGAGATCAACAGAACACCCAAGACCAACACCCCCAAGCAACCCATGTGAAACCCAGAACCAACATACAACACCATGAACAACCCTTGGGTGGTGCGCAGGCAGCATCTGTATTAGTACCATGCATGTGTCAGCCCAAGGGAGTGCATGTCCAGCCGTCAATCTAACGCCCTGAGGGTGTCCATCCGCAAGGTTGCAATTGAGTTTTGAGCCCGCACCCTCATGCCACAATGCTCATTTCCAACCGGTGCTCTAACCACTGAGCCACACCAATCCGCGAGTACCGTCACGTACAGGCCGAAGCAGGTTGCAGCAGCGGACGGACCGAGGCACACTCACACGAGCCACGACCTTGAGATTGCATCATCGAGTTGACCAGCCCCAGGTAATTCAGAATTATTTCATTGCATACATCTATAAGTCCATCAGGATTCAAACCTGGGTCTGCATTTCAACAGTTCATTGGTGTACCAAAGAGGACGTGATTGCGGCCAGATGCATCCGAGACCGGCGGTAATTGCGATCCGATGCATTCAAGAAAGGGCTTGCGTGAGTGCCCCCTCCTCATTCCCGCCCACCGAACTGTTTGGCGCGCCTCCCATCTAACGGAGGGATACTGGCACCAGGACTTTTTGCACCGAGCTCAGGCCGTCATTGCCGTCAGATGCATCAGCTGCGGCTGTAAGTGCGGTCCGATGCGTTCAGCAAATGGCTACAGTCTTCCCCCGAACACAACGCACCGTCATTTTGACTGCATCGGGACGGCAAGATAGTGTGTATGCATTCATTATCAGGGTGCGTTATGTTCGGGGGAAGCCGGTAGTGTGAGTGCGCCCGGAAACTGCTGCGCGCGCGTGCCTCACCAAGAAAACATTCTGCAGTCGAAACGTTGTGCGGTTGCGTACTCGTAAATCTTTTCTCTATTTTTATTTATTCTTGAAGTGCTTTTAGTCCTGAAAATTTATGTCGCACGGCGGGTATAGCGGCCAAATCTTGACCAATTCTGTCGTTTGCCCTTTTTCTTTCTTTCCTTCTTTCTTTTCTTTTCTTTTTTTTTTTTTTTTTTTTTTTTTTTTTTTGAAGACGCAATTTTCTTTCTTTTGTTAATCCCTGGAAAAAAGACGGCAAAAACAGAAACGAACAGAGACCGTCGCTATGTCGACCCCGACGGGGCAGGGTACCTACTACCTACCGTAGTCGTCGACTCGCCTACCCTTTTGTTGTTGATGACGGAAAGCCCAATCTGCGTCAGGAACGGAAGGATGTGTTCTTCATGGCCGAGTGCGAGCAGCATATTACTCAGTTTTAGATTCGTCCTCACGCAAGTGTGTGGAACGGCGAAGCCGTCGGTCCTGGTTAGCTTCTTGAAAGCAACCTCGAGTCACTTGAGCAGCGCGTCTTATTCGCTCTGGTGCAGCTGAGAAACCTGTCTTGGCCGCAAGCGGGTCGCTGTTGTGGCATGGTGCAAGGAGAAGGGGAAGGGGAAGCTACCTAGTAGCGAGGGCGCCATCGCCATCAGATTGCAGGTAGACTACAGGTTGGAAGTCGGCATTTCGACCAAGAGACGGTCAGTCTCTGCTAGACGGACAAAGCAGGAAATGTTGGTGTGACATGCAGGCCAACGGTTAGTCTGTCGTTCTCAAGTGTCCACATAATTGCAGAAAGGGAGGCAGTCTCATAGCTCAAGTGCTCAGCAGAAGTGTGTGATTTGCGTTGTCGTCGCCGTCGTCCCATTTGTCTCTACAAGTCACACACACAGAGAGAGAGAGAGAGAGAGAGAGAGAGAGAGAGAGAGAGAGAGAGAGAGAGAGAGAGGGAGAGAGAGGATGGCGGAGAAGGGTGACCATGGAAGTACGGGAAGCTACTCTGGGCCTCCACGAATGCAGACAGCAGGATTGCTGTCTGTGTTTTCAGTTCTGTTGGTTATAGAGGGTGTGACGAGGACAAACTTGTACATCGACAGAAACTCGGACTGGGACGGAGATAGCAGAATATTTCCAAGAGTTGTTTTGCTCATTGCGGGCCTGGTTGAAATCGTTTTCAGTTTCTCAGGCTTGCTTGTGGGACTGGGAGAACTGTTCTTGGAACTCGGCAATGCCACCTTAACACTCTTCAGCATGTTCACCATGCTTATTGGCTGGTTTACGTACGTCGTGTACACCCTTGCTTACCCATCGTTCATCGTCGACAAGGCTAGCAGCGGCTATGATCCTCTCACTGAATCCGAGTATCGGGGTATACAAATCATGGTACGCTTCTACGCATTTGCTCGGCCTTGTACGCTTTGTTTTTTTTTTAATATTGCTAAGGCTCCATAATTTACTCCAATGACTTGCTCCCTCGCTCTCCCCGTTCTCTCTCTCTCTCTCTCTCACCACATCCCCAAACTCCTCTTTACGTTTTTATTTTTAATATATGTATTTTTCCAGTGATGTCAAGGCTTCAAGTTTTTTGAATTGTATATTTGACTTTTTTTGGTGTTGTTGTTGTGCCGATGAGCGGCGTACGTTCCGTTTGAGGCTGGCTAGAAGCCCGTAGTGGTCTCCCCACGCTGACGGACTACGTAACTGTGTGCTACGTCTGGTGAACACCGATGTGAGTGAACTCAGTGAAGTATACCGTCTTGCCCATCTTGATGTGATTTTGCGGTTCCTTGCGCTTCGTGGATCTCTGAAGTTCTTAATTGTAGAGATTGTTCTTGCGGGGGAAGCTCGTACACGTTTTGAATCGAAACTAAGTTGCAGGTATTGGAAGTATTCGTTCGGGCTGAGCGTATGCAAGTTTTCTGTTGGCCTCCGGGGATGCAATTTGTCTCGATTTTTCAACATCTCAGACCCCATGCATGTGTATCTGTGTGATTGATCGGTAGTTTTCGTTCCGGCTTTCTGTTTCAATATGAGACCCCATGGGCCCATGCATGTTTCTCTGAGTGATTGACCGTTAAATGTAGAATGTTTTCCCCTACGGGAGGTCGGCACGAAGTATGATTCTGGGACTCGTTTCCAGTGTTTGCTTTGACGTGTGGAAAAGTCAACGCTGTTTAGAGTCATTTGAATTGAACCGCACAAGGCGAGTGTATTTTCGAATTTAACGACGTTCTGTTCAGTGTGACAGCCGTCTGCTGAATCTCTACGGTGCGAAATTAGTAAATAAATATACATATATATCGTCAAATAGAACTGCCCGGTAAACCGTAGGCAGAGAGGGAGAAGAGGACAACAAACGAGGGGCTGTGACAAACTGTTTCGTCGGAG